TATTCCTTATTATATTTTTCATTTCCGTAATTCCCATTTTGTTATTGCTTTTGTACTTTTTATTTTTTATAGGTTTCAAGGAAATTTGCAATTGCTGATTGAATCAACTTTATGGAGGCTTCTTTAGAATCATTTTCAGTTCTACTCTCTGGTTCGCTTGGTACTGGCATCAGCTGCTTGTCTTTTCTCACTTAATTGATATTTTCTTGGTTCTTGGTATCAATGGTTATTTTCAATTGTATCTTGGCATGTTCAATATTATGTTAAGGTCTCCATAGTTAGGCTTAGTGAGTAGGTTTCGGGCAACCATCCTGGGCCTTGTTGACATAGACTCTGGGGCCAAAGAGCTCACCACCTATCAAATCAACACTGGACCAAGAGACAAACTGAGCTTCCCGGGTTTTTCTGGCAATGATCATCCTGCTGCTGTCAGGTTGTGTGAGGCAGAGGATGGATTACTCTTCTAGGCTCTGCTGGCTGTGTCACTATGGGCAGATGAGGTCTTAATGGCTGGTGAGAGATAGGGAATGAATTAGGATTCAAGCTTCCTTAGTATTGCAGCTACGAACAGATTCGAGTTCTCATTGCCATTGGTGATGAGTTTCCCTGTTAAGTCTCTGTTTGGCTTTCTTTTCCTTTTCCCTTGACCAAAGACGGTGACTTTTACTTTTCCTTTCTTCGTTTTTGTCTACGCCTGTTGACAGCTCAAGGTTTTCCACATCCCAGTCTGGGATCTATGGAAGGTAAAATAAATCTTAGGGAGCTTACCATGGTGGTGTTCTCCAAGTCCTGTGGTCAGTCCACCTTCTCTTTCCTTTTTACCTTTCAGAGGCATTTTATGATGATCTATTTAATTCTTTCCAGGTTATTTGGTTGTATTTAGAGAAGAAAGGTGGAAAAATAGTGACTATATATCATCTTGCTTGGGAACCTGAATAGATTGAACTTTTTAAGAGATTGACAAATTATTTTTCAAAACTCCAGACTGTTTAATTACTTACACATCTCTAAGAACAGTGTATGAATTACAGTTCTTTCAAATCCTCACCAACACCAGTATGGTCAATATATTTTTCTTAATTTTAAGTATTTGAACACTTACGTAGTAGAATCATATTGTGTTTTTGATTTTGGTTTTCTAATAAATGATACAGGTGAATATCTTTTCAGATACTTATCTTCCATCTAATGATGTATTTGTACTGAACTGCCACAAGATAGTAAAACCTATAGTACAACAGAAACTCAAATTTCACTCTATTTATTTATTTATCTATTTGTTTATTATTTTTTTTTTAGAGATGGGATCTCACTATGTTGTCCAGGCTTGTCTTACACTGCTGCCCTAAGGCAGTCCTCCCCCTCCACCAGCCTCCTGAGTCACTGGGATTACAGCCATGAGCAAGCACCACCGACTTGCTGCTTATATTTAGAAGTCTTTCCAACACCCCTACTCTATACCTCTTTCTGACAACCTGGTCCAGTTGCTTTTTATCTTACCTCATCTAATCATTGTGGTAGTTCTCAGCTTACTACAGTGCTGCTTCCTACAATTCACTTTTCATGGGCATGACCTTCTTTCCTCCTAAGAAGTATAAACCCCTTGTAAGAAGATATCATTGCTTGTATTTTTCTGAGTTCTCCTTCAATGCTTGAAGCAGTTTTTAATACACTGTAGGTCTTCCTTAACTACCCAGAAAGGGAGTTAGTGATTCAAGGGAAATAATGAGTATATTTGTGCTGAGTGGTGTCAACGAAATCCAGAGGTATGCAGTTGTTAAGACAGCAAAATATACTTCGTTCAGGAACTATTGCAATAGAGAGAGACAGACCTCCATTTAATACTGGACTCAATTTTGAATACAGCGTGGAAAAGTGGGGATCCATAGCCAAAGGATGGGTAGTAGAGCCAGTGAATAGGAGTCCACATTGGGAGTAAAGGGGAATTCTCACTGAACTGATCTAACAGGACTCTTGCTGAAGACAGGCCAGGGTGATTAGCTAATACCCAAAGGATGGTGGAAGATGAGGAATTTGATTAGATATTGAGGGCGAGTGAATATCAAGGATAGGGGATTCTCTCCAAAGTCACTTAGCAAGGTTCTTGCTACAATTAGGTGGTACAGACTCAACAAGGATGGCCACTGAACCCTGAATTTGAAGTCCAGTTGAGAAGAGAGCTTAGAGGAGTATGACTGAAGTCTGATCTAGGAGAGAATTTTTGTCAGTGAGACAGTGAATTGAATAAGCATTTAGGGTTGCAAATTTTATTCACCCTCCCTGCCAAAACAAAACTTATAAAGTAGCAGAAAGCATTGTTTATGCGCAGGATATAAACTCTGCAAGTTTAAAATCTCAAGAGACTGCCAGAAGAGTTTTACAAGTTATATGTTACACAAAGCATTGTAACTAATGAGAACAAATTACAAAGTTGGGTGAGGAAGTTATCTGCAAGCCTCTGATGAAAGAGAGAGGAATCCCTTGGGATCTCCTAACCAAAACCAAACCTCTAGAGCTAAAGAATCTCCAGCACTTATAATAATCAAACAATACCTCTAAATCAGTAGGAAAGAAGGCTCCAAACCATTGTAATTTAGTGGGCAGTGGGGGCTGATCACATCAGGTATGGACTAACTTCATAATTCATGTCACAAAACTCTAGAGCCACAGAATACGAAAGCTTGCATGAACTCGGGACCCTTTTTCTTACTTACCATCTGGGGAAACTCAAATCCAGAAGATGTAGCAGCTTTCCCAATGTCACTAAGCTAGCAGTGATAAAAGTAAGAATCCAGATTGTCATACTAAATCAATGTTTAGTGTTTTTCAGACTAAATCAATCTCTGTCTCTTTTGAGTGGTGAACAAAGTATGCTTCCAGCAATATTGTGAAGATTTTCTTTCAGAAGAACATAATCGTGACAGTGAATTCACTTTGGAGCCTGGTAAAATACACAAGGTAGGAAACTATTCTAGATGGTTTTACTCTTTTCTCCTCGTATCTAATTGTCATTACAAAAAGAAAGGATCATTGGGATAAAATTACATATCTTTTCCATATTACCATTTCTCTTTGGGAAGTGTGTATATATATATTTTGGTCAGTGGATTAATATCCCAAATTAAATTTAACACAGATGGATTTAGGGACAACTTCACAGATAGGTGAGGTAGGATGGGACATAATACCCTCACAACACACACACACACACACACACACACACACATCACACACACATTTAGAATATACCCCAAGTAGAGATTCTGACATTTATACTCTACTGCTGATGATTCACCAAGGAAATATTATCACATAGTCAGAGAACTAGATAAGATCAGATCTATCTTAGGATTTGTATGGCTGATTATTTGCATTTTCGAAATGCTTACGAATTTAATGGTGACTTTAAGAACAGAAAGTTCCCCAACCCCCTTGTCGTCCCCCAGTTTCTGCCTCAACTCCCAGAGCTGTGTTGGGAGAGGTAGAACATGTGTAAAATCAGACTTTTCTTTTTCTGGTAGTATGTTAGAAAAAGCTTGAGTTTTGTACTGAGGACATCAAGTACTAAAACAACTTATTGTTTTGCTAATATATTGTGTATTTTCTCTTTGTTCTACTTAATCCTTTAGTTCTAGAATACACATAATTGCCTTTCTTACAGAGTTACTGTGAAGGGTCAAGAGTGCTTGGGAGCCTTGGTGTGTGAAGTGCTCTACTGATGGGAGGAATTTTCCACAGTGGCTTAGGGATACGCTTCTGAAATAGTTGAAAATGCAGCAGAATGCTGATCATAGAGAAAAGTGAAACAATCATCTGCAAGTAGATTTAGAAACCAAAGAAACTCATGCTGACTTGATAAGCATTGATAAATGAAAAGAACATACAATTCAAGTCAAAACTGTTTGTTTCTAGTCACAAATATGCCAAATCTGAGACGTAATTTTATTTCTAGAATAAGTAAAGAAATCACACTTGTCCTACCCATTTCACAGCTGTCCTATGCACTTTATATTTATGCTGTGAAGAGTAAAATCAATAAACATTTGAAAGAATTTGGAAAAATATAAACCCTGTAAATGCTAGTTATCAAATATATTGACATATGGAGCAGGAAAAATAGTAGTTCAATATACTACAGGGCTGAAACAATGTGTTAAATATAAGGACAAAAAACATGTTATAGAAATCAGAGAAGTATGAGATTAAATCAGATGTAGCATTATTGGAAAATTTATACAATTTGTAAATGCCACTTACTTTCTTTGAAGGCTGAGCTTGGAATTAACAAAATAGACACAATCTCAATTGACACCTGCACTCTGCTTGTACTGTCTGTTTATCGAAACCATTTACAGATTCTAATTAATTACTGTCAATCCTAAGGGTCCTAGGGTGCCCTCTTTCTTCTTTTCCTTTTCTCAAAATAGAAAGAATGAAACATGTTTTTTACTTTCCTTTAAAGTTCTAGGACCTAAATATATTCTCCAAGAATGGGTAATTACTTTGGGCCTCTCCAACAATTGCAAGTCATTGTCCAAGTTTTGTCCTAAAATTATTTGGAAATCAATTCTCAATATTTACATAGTAAATATTTATAGGCCACACATTGTGTGGAAGTTTCTATGTTGGACCCTGACCCTGTCTATTAGCCACTTAAAAGTTTTCTCAGTGTTCAGAAGCGGATCCTCACCTAATGGGAGGCTTATTTGTATCTGAATCTCTTTGATCTGAGCATTAACCAGAGTGCTTCTTCCCACATTATATCACCTGCCAAAAAAAAATTCTTTTAAAAATTGGCCAGAGCAAGCCTTCTTGTCATATTCTAAGCCATCAATAATTAGTTTTTGAATAAAGGAAAAAATGAGTGACTGGAAAATGAGAAAAACACATTACCTACATATACATGGTTTTGCTAAACTGCATGAAAAAGCAGTTGGTAATTATAATTCTGGTGATTTGTCTTAGTCATCACAATTTTCATTTGATGGTATCAGAAGATAATGGAGTTGAATGTTTGTTATTGTTTCTTTCAAATTTCAGACATTCAAACAATGAAGAACAACCAGACAATCCTGAAGGAATTCATTCTTGTTGGCTTTTCTGTGTACCCACATGCACAGACATTTCTTTTTGTGGTCTTCTTTTGTCTCTACCTTCTCACCCTTGCAGGTAATCTGACCATCATGGGTCTAACTTGGGTGGACAGGTACCTCCACACCCCTATGTATCTGTTTCTTAGTGCACTTTCCTTCTCTGAGACCTGCTACACATTGACTATCATCCCCAACATGCTGGAAGATCTACTGGCCAAGGACAGAAGCATTTCAGTCATAGGTTGTAGCTTACAGATGTGTTTCTTCTTGGCTCTTGGTGGCACAAACTGTATCATCCTCACTTTGATGGGATATGACCGCTTCCTGGCCATCTGTAACCCTCTAAGATATCCACTGCTTATGACCAACATTGCATGTGGAAAACTTGTGGCCTCTGCTTGCACTGGAGGCTTCTTTGTCTCTCTTACAGAGACTGTACTGATATTCAGGAACTCTTTCTGCAGACCCAACTTTGTCAAACACTTCTTCTGCCACATGCGGGCAGTTGTTAGGCTGTCCTGCATAGACAGTAACCTCACAGAATTCATTGTAACACTGATCTCAGTGTCCGGCTTGCTGGGTACCTTCCTGCTCATTATCCTGACTTACATCTTCATTATTTCTACGGTCCTCAGGATCCCTTCCACTGAGGGCAAGCAGAGGGCCTTCTCCACCTGTGCCTCCCACCTCACAGTGGTTATAATCCACTTTGGTTTTGCATCTATCGTTTATTTGAAGCCAGAAGACTCAGGAGGAGATGACACACTCATAGCAGTCCCTTATACTGTCATTACCCCCTTCCTCAGCCCCATCATATTCAGCCTGAGGAATAAGGACATGAAAAATGCTTTCAGAAGAATGACAGGAAACACAGTTGCCTTAAAAAAATAATCTTAGGTTGTTGCTGCTCGTTTGAAGCATGGCTCAATGTCCCCAGAATTCAATGAGGGCATTTATCCTATGACACCTGGAGAAGCCTAAACCACTTGCCTTGTTCCAGAGGTTGGGATATAAGCAGCAAGTAACTGAGACTGGGAACTAAGTCATCACAGGCATCTAGCTTGTTATGAGAAGTTGTCCAACCCTTCTACTATCCAGTATCAGAAGAAGAATGCCCCTGCAGATATAGGATTCTAATAATCAACTTCCATGTCTCCTGAATATTCATTAATTGGGTAAAGAGTGTGGAAGGAAAAAAAAAGGCATATAAAACCACTGCATTGAGAGATGTTTTAAATATCTAAAGCTGTCAGCCATGGCTGGTGGCTCACACTTGTAATCCCAGCACTTTGGGAGACCGCGGGAGGGTCACTTGAGGCCAGGAGTTTGAGACCAGTCTGGCCAACATGGTAAAACCTTGTCTCTACCAAAAATACAAAAGTTAATCTGGCATGGTGGTGGGCACTCGTAGTCCCAGCTACTCGGGAGGCTGAGGCAGGAGAATCGCCTAAACCCAGGAGGCAGAGGTAACAGTGAGTGGAGACCACGCCATTTCACTCCAGCCTGGGTGACAAAAGCAAAACTCCATCTCAAATAATAATAATAATAAAAGTTCAGGAATTTTTAGGCAAAATTATGAAGTACTGGAATGTGCCTTCCATAAGACAAATGATTTCTGACAACATGTATGAGTATTGATGTAATTTTGAGTTCTGTTACTTATGGGAATGTATAAATGAAATAATGGATAAACTTATGCATATTAACTAATTAAGTTTACCACTGACCATGACTCTCTTTCTTTGGGATTATTTTCATGACACATGTACAGACAAAAATCTCAGCTACTTTTAATCTGCAGCCATTACTTAGTGGCAAGAGTCTTCTTTTACTTTGGTTCCACTCCTGACAATTGGTTGTTTAATCTAGGGAAGCTAAACATCTCAAAAATAAATACTATTTACTCCCTTATGGTGGATGCAGAGGATATTACGTCAAGTCTAGACTCAAGATCCTGAACCTAAATTTGGACCAATTAGCCTGCTTGTGCCTGATATAGTGACTGTGGTGGGGATTGCTAGTTGCCAGAAATAAATAACTAAATGGAAGCTGAAAATACCTAAAGACTCATGCACATATGGGCACTTGCTTTATGACAAATAAAACATTGCAGAACAGTGAGAAAATGATAGACATTCAATATAACTGGTGCTAGGAAAATAGCATATCCATATGGGAAAAACAAAATCTGGAAAAAATAATTTCTAAAAATCAAAAACTAAATTTGAAAAGTGAAACTGTTAAACTTTTAGAGATAATAGAAGATTGCTTCACTAACGGGATAGAAAATACTGTTTAAATTGTGTGTAAAATTTTTAACTAAAAGGAAAAAGTCTGATTAAATAAAAAATGAGACATTTTGTTCATCAAAAAGACATTATTGACAGAGTGGAAAAGAAAACCAAATAATATAGCTATACAGAAATTTCAGAGAGTGATAAGTATGAAATTTAGGATCACGATTCCTTTTAGAAGGAGGAGTCTGTAATGAGCGGGACAGGAGGCACATGGAACAGCTCCTGATGGGCAGCATTCTTTTCCTTGGTCTAGGTGGTAATTGCAAAGGGTTTTGCCCATGAGAGATTAAATAAGCTATGTATTTGTTTAGATACTTTTCTGTGTTTAACTTTATTTTATAATGTAAGGATTAAACAAAGCAATGCACAGAAAGAGAAAAAGTCTGTAACATGTAACTGGCAAAGGCCCTCATTTGGTATATACAGTCATCTGTCACTTAACAATGAGAATGTATTCTGAGTAATATGTAATTTTGTGATTTTGCCCCTGTGTAAACATCACAGAGTGTACTTACACAAACCTACTCTGCATGTAGACTGTATGATACAGCCTAATGCTCCTAGGTTACAAACATGTACAGTATGTTACTGTACTGAATACTGTAGACAATTCTAACTCAATGGTGTTTATGTATCTAAACATATCTAAGCATAGACAAGGCACAGTTGAAATACAGTATTATAACCTGTGGAACCACCATTGTCTGTGTGGTCTGCCATTGACCAAAACATCATTGTGTCATTTATGACTGTATAAATAATTTCTAGAAGAAATAAAATTCTCAATAAATAAAAAGACAAAGGAAAAATTTCTGAGATGCAAATAGATCCTTTATAAAAGAGAATATTTAAATGTTCAATAAATACCTTAAAACGTGCTTGATCTCATTAGTAAGCATGAAAATGAACATTAGAACCTCAGTGAAGTACTATCACAAACTCACTTGAATGGTTAAAATTAAAAGGCTGGATTAATGAGTGTTGAAAAAGAAACATAAAGCAACAAGAACTCTTCAGCGCTCTTAATAAGAGTGTGTAATTGTTCAGTCATTTTAGGAAACAGTCTGGTATTACAAGCTTATTTTGGAGATACTCATAACCTGTGGTTAAACTTTGCTACTCTTAGGAGTATGCCCATGTGTATCATGACATACACCGATGTCCTTAAACACAGTATTTGCAAAATGGCAAAAGCTGAAAATTATTCAGCTAATTTACTACAGAATGGATAGAAAAATTATGGCATATTCATGTATGCCATAATTATTTCTTTGTGGCAGTAATAAAAATGAATAAACTAAGCTATATACTTCAGCATGCATGTGAAACTCTTTTTTTTCCTTTTTATATCATATCTATCTTCTATAATCTAATATATGTAATTCAAGACTTTGTCTCTGACCCAATTTCTCATTAGGGTTTTCTAAATTTTTATACCAAGAAATTTCTTTAATGGGAAGAAATGAAAATATTCTCTAGTGTCAATAAGCAATATAGTAAGATGTTAATGAAGAAAGAAAATAAGAGGTAAGTTCTGTTCTGCATCTAAATGTAGAGTGCTTTTCTGTGGAAAAAATGTCCATTTGTCTCTTCCATATATATGAGTAATTTATTGTATTCAAGACACTACACTAACCATGGGGAAAACAAAACACATAAGATATATTTTTTTGCCCTCAAAAAAGTTATATTCTACTAGTGGGGAGGCTAAGAAATTATGATGTAACATGAATTAAGCCTTATACAGATTTATGGGAGCACTCAGGAGATACAGTATCCACATAAGATCACTATAGGATTTACCCATATTGTTGGCTAGCATCCTCAGAATAGACTGTTCTACCTGAATATCATTTAATATGTCCTCTAAACAGGAAAAAGAGACAGCCGGGAGTAGCCCTCTTAGGGTAATAACAAATCACAAAGAAAATTATTCCTTCAAAGAAGGAATAATAGTCAGTAACTATTCCTTCAAAGAAGTCTGAATTTTTTTGAATTATTTGGTAGAGAAATTTATGTTCTAGGACTTTTTTAAACAATGGAGCAATCAGCTGGTAATTATTAGATTAAAAGCTGGATGTATTTAGGAAAGGGGACAACATAAGCTCTGCCAAAATTATTGTCCCTATGTGTGTCTTCTGAAAAGCAACATTAAAGACTTAATACTGGGGAAGTATAGGAGAGGATAGATTTTACTAAAACAATCCAGCCAGTCACTGAACAAGTAAACAAGCAAATAATTAAAACAAAACGTAATGGAGAGAGATGGGAGAAAAACCAGTGACCAGAGTTTCTACAATATATTATACAAAATTCCAGTTTCCAATATAAAATATAAAGTATGCAAAGAAAGAGAAAACTATGACCCATATTTTAAAAAAAGACAACAAAAACTGTGAGAATGTGACTAAATGCCATATCTAAAATACAGACTTTAAAGTAACCATTGTAAATATATTCGAAGGTCTAAAGAAAATCACCATTAAATAAATAAAGGAAGGGATATAACAATAGCACATCACATACAGAATACTAACAGAAAGAAATGATAAATAAAAACCAAATGAAAACTTTGGAATTGAAAGTATAATCACTGAAGAGAAAAATGTACAAGAGGACTCAACAATAAATTTGAACCAACAGGAATTAAAAAACGAATGAACTAGAAGTTAGAGTGATAAAGATTATGCAATTCAAAGGAAAAAAAGAAAAAACAGTGAAAAGAAATAGAGCCTCAGAGCAACGTGAGACACAATTAAACATGCCAAAACTGGTGTAATGGGAGTAGCAGGAGGAAAGAACAAAGAGAAAGGAAACAAACAAACAAAAATATTTGAGGAAATACTGGCAGAATAAACTTTCCAAATTTACTAAAAAACATAAAGCTACATATCTAGGAAGCTCAATGAAATTTCATGTAGAATAAATGCAAAGAGATACATAAAAAGACACAACATACTAAAAATGCTGAAAGTCAAAGACAATGAGGAAATTTTGAAAGCATCAAAAGAAAAAATGGCTGACTTTTCAATGAAACAAAGACTAAAAAGCAGTGGGATAACACATCCAGTGTTCAAAAAACAAAACAAAACTTGTCAACTAAGATTTCAATCTCAAATGTTAAAAAATTGTCTTCATTTAAAATAATCAAAAACTGGAGGCCAGGCATGGTGGCTCAAGCCTGTAATTGCAGCACTTTGGGAGGCCGAGGCAGGCAGATCACCAGAGGTCAGGCATTCAAGACCAGCCTGACATGGAGAGACCTCATCTCTACTAAAAATACAAAATTAGCATGGTGGCACAAGCCTGTAATCCCAGCTACTCGGGAGGCTGAGAAAGGAGAATGACTTGAACCTGGGAGACAGAGGTTGCAGTGAGCTGGAATCACACCAGTGTACTCCAGCCTGGGCAACAAAAGTGAAACTTTATCTCACACACACACACACACACACACAAACACAAAACCACCAAAATTTCCTTCAAGAAGAGACTACTTAAACTGTAGTATATCTGTAACTTGAAATAACTACTCGAAGGGGCAAACTATTGATAGAAACATACAATCTAAATCAATCACTTGACAATTATGCTAAATGAAAAACATCACTAAAGGAACATACTACAAATAAATACAAATAAGAACCAAATGAAAACTCTGGATTTGAAAGTATAATCACTGAAGAGAAAAATTCACAAGAGCTCTAAACAATATATGTATGTACCTTTATAAATGTATACATGTATATTTATAAATATATACACGTATACGTATACATGCATATTTATAAATAGATACTACATTTATAAATATATACATCTAAGTTTAATTTTTGTTTTTGTCACATACTAGGTTTGGGATTCTGTCATATATGTATATACACACACATAGCTCTGTGTGTGTGTGTGTGTGTGTGTGTGTGTGTGTGTGTGTGTGTATAGTATCCTTCAAATGGAGCAATTATCAAAATTGAGAATACATTAGTGGTTGCCAGGATGCCAAGGGTTAAGAGTGGAATATGGGTATGAGAAAAGGGAATGTGCCTACAGAAGAGTAACAGTATGGACTCATGTGGTGATTGACATGTTCTGTACCTTCACTGCAATAATATCGACATCCTAGCTGTCGCAGCATTGTATAGTTTTGTAAGACATTACACTTGAGGATAATTAGGTAAAGTATACATGAGATCTTTCTGTATTATTTATCATAATCGCATACGAATCTACAGGCATCTGAAAATAAACTCGGAATCAACGTGACCTGAGTTTACTTTCTGTCTTTGCCACATACTGAGTGTGTGATTCTGTGATAATCACTTACCTTTTTAAAGGATCAGTTTTACCTCTTTAACAGGATCATAATTTCTTGTATCTGAAATTGCCAATGAGAATATATATTCTTATTGTGAGTTTAGTAATAGAACCCTCTAGAATTTTGGCTGAGTACACAAATGGCCAGTTAGTTATTACATTTCTTAGCTTTCTTTGCGGCCAGGTTTGACTATCAGGTGACCAAGTTCTTATCAATGAGATATAAGTGTAAATGATGGGTGAAACTTCTGTATCTCACTCTTAAGATCAGTTTCTCTCTTTCTGCTTTCCTGATGGCTAGGATATGGAAAACCAGACCAGAGCCTTGGTCTTGCCAATAGAAGCTTTCTATTGAGTCTGGGAGGACCAACCATCTGCCTGTGGTTTTTACAACCTTGTGAAGTCAAGCTGCTCCACGTGCCCTGCCAGCTGTGAACCACTCATCACTGTGGGGTTATATAAAAGAGAAATACAATTCTATCTTATTTAAGCAGTTGTATTTTTGTACCAATCTAAACTTGTTTAGATTGTAGCTACATTTTATTGCTAAGATAAATAAAACATTTATGAAGTTTTTAGCAGAATGTCCAGCATATAGTACATAGTGATTATTCTGTAAATGGCAATGGTGTGTTTTTTTGCACCAACAGGAAAAAGTATAAATATGCTTCCTCTTTTTTATTTTAATACTTTTTTCTTGTTTTCTCACCACCCTCACCTTCCTGAAACTGTCTAGCCCCTTAACCTCCGGAAAACACTGTACTCTTACAATTCCTTTCTTAGACTTTCGGTCTTTTTCCTTCTTTGGTCTACATTGCTCAGGTATTTCCTTTACATCCTTCTCTTTCTTTCTTTTTGTTCTCAACTCTGTTCCTCTGGTTACATTTATCAAGTGTGATTATACGTATTTATTAATGCTGACTCCCAAGTTTATAATCTGAAGACAGACATAAGATCCAAGCCATTATTTCTGACTTATTGCTGCATATATCTGCTTTCCCTTGAGCTTAATATGTCAAGCCTGAACTCATCCCTGGCTTTCTCATGTTGTTCCACCTTCTGTGTTTTCTGAAGGTTACCATCTCCTTACCATAGAGCTAAAATCTCAGTGATCACTGTATTTCTCTAACTCCTTATAGCATCATTTAATCTTTTGCAAAGTACTTACTTATAACTATTGTTCTGCAGTAACAGCAAATTGCCATTATTGCCAAGAGAAGAGCACCATCGTTTCTACTCAGACACTCCCTCTCCAATATTGCATCCTAAACAGGTCATCTGGGCTCTGCTTGAACACTTGCAGTGATAGGCTGCTTAGCACACACCCTACAAGGTACCCTACTCCATTTGTGACAGTTCAATGGACCAAGAAGCAAAGAAGCAACCTGGGTATAAACGACAGTCAGGAAAACCAGAGTTGTGAGAGAAAGAAACTCCCATTATTTTCAGAAACAGACTCAGATCTAAGGCAGGAATCAGGAATTCACAAGCACTCCTCTACACATCTTCCCACCAGTTATCCTGAGAGCTTCCCTGTGCATCTGGTTTTATTTACAAAGGGTTGTAAAGAAGGGCAAGCAGCAAATGAACTTTTCTCGTGGAACCTATAGACTTATGGAAGAGAGACAAATCATCTCTTCCAATATGTAAACACAAACAAGTGAAAGCAGGCAGCAGTGAACAGAGTTTACAAATAAACATCTTCCCAAAAAATGGAATCGTCTAAATAACCCATCAGAATTAATTTGTCCATAACCGTTACTTTTTGTCTTACTTCCTCACTAGAATTTTACTCTTGAATTATCATTATATCTATGCACCTCTTAGGTACCTCTGAAAATAAGGTTTGCAGAAGCACTACGTGGATGGCACACAGGCAATGAACCCAAGGACTTTACTCCACTTCAGTGCATACCCACGTCCCTCCGGACAATGTTCTTATTCTATCTCCTATGCCCTAGAA